GATGGGGTCCCGCAGCCTGGGCTGTAAGGGAGCGGCCGGGCCGCGTCACCCCCAGCCCCGCCGCCGGGGAAGCCGAGACCGAGCGGGGGGGCGGCGGCGGCGCCGGGAGAGGAAAGTTGTGCCGGGCTCTGTCAGCGGGGCTGGTCGGCTCCGGGCGGGCTGAGGGTTGACCGGGAAGTTCACGCTCTCACAGCGAGCCCCGTGGAAAGTTGCCGCTCTGGCCGCTGCTTTTTGCCACTGCTAGTCTTAAGCTGTCCCTTTCTTTCCCCGTTAATTCTGCAGCAGGGTTCTGGTGGCGTTCCTTCCCGGCCCTGCCTCCCCTGAGCTGGGAATATACGTTACATTGCACCAAAACGTTCCCTTGCGGGGAAGGATTTCGCATCTCGAGGACGGAGACGCGATGCGCGCGGCTCCTGCGGCGCTCCGTGAGAGCTCAGGGAGTTACTGTGAGAAACCATAGCTGGGAAGAGAGAAACCGAAACGGGCTGGTAAGGGCCTAGTTCTGCCTTCGGAAGGCAAGGAAGAAGAAAAAAGACAAAACTCTCCCTGGTTATGGCTGCAACAGAAATAGGGCTGTGGCGTGTTAACATCTCTGTTTCAGCCTTACGTTGTAATGGTTACCAGCAGGCTCATTTCGTTTTTATGGTCATCCTGGTTTCCTGGTTGCATGACACTTCCATTCAGCCACTGTTCTTAATAATTTAACCTTTTATGAGATTGTTTTGATTTACAGTGCAGATTAGAGCAGACTGAAAAAGCATGATATCACCCACTGGCTGTTAGCTCCTCTGCGCCCCATGCAAAGGTCTCTGCTGTTTAAGATGTCAGGAGAGAGGTCCCATTTTCCTTCCCCAGCCAGCCAGTCATTTTCTAATTTTATTTTTACTTAAGTGAAAAATTGCATTCAGATTCTGTAACTTTGCCGTGCTGAGCTGCGCAGAATCTATGCTGAGTTTTGGATTCAATGGATGGCTTGTTTGCTCGTTGGAGTCCCAAGTCACATAAACTATGTTGAAAATAGAATTAAAACCACAGCTCGACATGTGCCGTGCCTCTGTTTGTTTTTTGTGTCTAGTCTGAAGCCCAGAATAGCCCGTATTGCTTGCGATTTCCAAAATGACTTCTGAAAATAAGCTGCGTGATATAACAGTCTGTATAGCTTTCTCACAGCATCTCAACTTGTTCAGCTGATCAGTGTGAACAGATCTGCACTGTGTTGGTGAGGTGGTACTTCATTTAACTGAAGCTTGCAGGCTTGAGTTGCTATTCTCAAAGCAAAATCAAACGTATGGTATAATTTAAATTTGAACAAAGGTTCATTATCAAGCCGCCGCCTGACATGCTGCAAGCTCGACCTGCATTGCTCTGCCATAACAAGTACATACATAGAATTTCTGAATGAAGGCAAGTCGGTTATTAGCTTTGGACAATGTTTCAAGAAAAATGTGGGGGCTGGCTCTAACTATACCACATTCTTTGTATTTATCCTGCAATTTTTGAATTGGTCTTCATCAAAAGCACAAAGCCCTAATTGATGTTCTCATTTTTCCCAATCCTTCTTCTAATTCTTGAGGATTTGAAGACCGAGCTTCCCAGTTTCGAATAATAAATCATATTCCTATTTCCAGTATTAAACCTCAGAAGAACTCTACAAACCTGTCACGATTTTGCTTAACAACATTTTGGCCGTGGTAATTGGTAAGTATGTAAGTGCAGGCCAAGCACCCACTGCCAGCCTGCCTCCAGTCTGAGAGGGGGATCTGTTCACCCTTCCCTGCCTGACCCTAGTGAGACCAGACAGCTGGTCCCTCTTCTGGGTAGGTTTCCTACTGGCTCTGTGGTCAGCAGGGACTGGAACTGTGGGATGTGCAGACAGAGCTGGCTGGGAAGACTAGGGCAGTCGCTTGCTGCAGTGAGCTGTCAGGACAACTCGACTGTCTCCCGAAACCTCCCACCACTTACAAACAACAGAGAAGCAGCAAATGTCTTACGGTAACTGTGATCGCTCTGTCAGATTTTTGTCAGAGATTAATGAATTTTAATTTTTACTAAGCAGGGCTGTTTCAGAAATGAAAGGAGTACAGAAGTTGGGAAGCAACAGAGGTCTCTGATCATCCTTCGGGTTAATTCCTCTCTGATACAGGATTGCTGTGTCATTATGTTCCCAAATGCCTTCAGTTTTATTAGTGGGCTTTGCCTTGAATCTGTGGGCTTTCCAAGAAAGGCTGCACTAAAGAAAACGGAATGTGGTTGTGGTAGAAGCAACCAACCCTTGTTCAGCGGCTGGAGCAGTGAAAATACATCCCTTAGGGATCCTTAGGGAATCACATCTATGTGAGTGTTGCTGCTCAGTGGCACAGCAGCCGAAGTATTGCTGTCCACCCAGATCCTCAGTTTTGGATGACTGCTTCCAAGCTGAATTTTGAATTGCAGGCATTATCTTAAAAAATAAGCGAATGAATTAGATCTCAATTACCAAGTTGTTTGGACAAAACTAATGGTAGGTTTATTTTGACCTGGATTTTTGGGCCATTTTGCATACTGTTACAGAATTCAATACTAAAAGCAGGTTTGGTCTCAAAATCTGACATCCTACATAATGTGGGCCGTGGTGTTTCTAACTAAGATTAGAAGTTGCTGAATTAATTG